TCACCCAGGGACACCGCCTCACCCGGGGACACCTCCTTCCTCACCCGGGGACACCTCCTCACCCAGGGACACCTCCTTCCTCACCCAGGGACACCTCCTCACCCGGGGACACCTACTCACCCAGGGACACCTCCTTCCTAACCCGGGGACACCTCCTCACCCAGGGACACCTCCTCACCCGGGGACACCTCCTCACCCGGGGACACCTCCTTCCTCACCCAGGGACCCCGCCTCACCCAGGGACACCGCCTCACCCGGGGACACCTCCTCACCCGGGGACACCTCCTTCCTCACCCAGGGACACCGCCTCACCCAGCGACACCAGGCTCCTGTAGTTCTCCAGCATCACCTTCCGGTACAAGTTCCTCTGAGCAGGGTTCAGCCATTCCCACTCCTCCCGAGAGAAATCCACAGCCACATCCCCAAACGTCACCAATTCCTGCAAGGACGCAAACCACATTCGGACTCAATCTGTGCTCAGAGCTGGGCTGAAGAATTAAATGGGCCGCACTTCCGGACAGGAAAAGTGCAGACAATGAGAGGATCGGGCAGTCTCTGGAGATTCGGAGGGACCCAAGTCTAGTAAACTGCTGGACAGCTTCTTTCTGCTTAGCTGGGTTTCCTGTAACATGTGCCATCACAGAGATGACAGAGAATGTTTAATCCTGGACAGGAGAAAAGATTTACAGCCCACTCAAGAAAATCCGAAAACAACAGGAAATGACTTTTAAAAAAAAAAATCAAGACTACTTTCAAAAGCACCAAACAACTACATTCATACTAACTGCTAGGGCATTTCTCAACCTAAGGAACTCGAGGCAGAGGGGAAACGGTTTCAAAGAAGAGGCAAGTTTGTACGAGAGAGGTTCTGTGGTCTAAATCAGCATTCTAGTAGAATGGTTAATGTTCCAAAGACAGCAATAGATAATAAGGTATAAATTAACTTGACTCTTGGACTAGCAAGCTTATAAAATTAAATACATATGTAATGAAAAGAGCCAAGCACGTAAGCACTGCACCAGCAGCGCTCCTTCCAGCATAAAGACGGTCCCCGTCAGAAGCGCACACACGGCCATCTTGGAGGAAGCAGAGCGGGAATGCTTCTCCGTCAGGGATGGTCAGTCTTTCTGTCATATCTTTTGGGCATGTTATTAGGAAGGGCTGGCCCTGGGAAGGACCTCCAGCTTGGTAAGGTGAGGGCTCACTGACCTCAGGGTACGGGATTTACGCAGTAGCTCAAGCACAGCACCAACCGTCGGGCTGGTGCGGGGCCAGGCGCTGTCCACAGGTCACCAGCAGTCAGGAATGACCCGACAGCACCCAGCAACACAAGTCCACTGAGCCTCCTTGCTTGTTATTGGCCCTTCTTCGTCGCCTCGAGGCTGAGGCTACAGGCCTGCTGGCCGACCAATGGGTTAGATGCTGGGTTGCTAACCAGAGGTCAGCTGTTCAAATCCACGCCACAGAAAAAAAAAAGATAAGGTTGTGTAAACTGGACGCAGAGAGAAGGCAGGGACACGAGGGAGGACGTGAATCCTGAAAAAGAGGAAGGCTGGGGTGAGGTCCTCTCGCAGCTCAGCACCGAGAAGAGGCCTCGGCTCCAGCCTCCCTCTTTTCCAGAATTCATGTCCTCGTGTCCCTGCTTTCTCTCTGCGTCTGCTCTACGACAATAAGGCAGTCCTATTTCCATAAAGACTACAGACTTGGGACATTTCTACTCTGTCCCGTTAGTTAGAAATGTCACTGTTGTTGTTGTTGTTGTTATGTGCCGTCGAGTCATTTGTGACTCATAGCGACCCTATGTACAACAGCCCTAAACTCTGCTCTATCCTGTGCCAATCGCACTGCCTCTGACACATCCATCCTGATTACCCCAGTCACCGAATCAATCCACCTCAAAGAGGGTCTTCCCCTCCTGCGCTGTCCCTCCACTCTACCCAGCATGATGTCCCTCTCCAAAGACCTGTCTCTCCTTACAACATGTCCAAAGTATGTCAGGCGAAGCCCCAGAATCCTTGCCTCCAAGGAGCAGCCTGGTTTAATCCTCTCTAGGATGAATCTGTTTGTTTTCTTGGCAGTCCATGGTACATTCAATACTCTTCTCCAGCACCACAGCTCAAAGGGGTCAATTCTCCTTCTATCCTTCTTAGTCATTGTCCAACTCTCTGATGCATAACAAGTGATTGCAAAAACCATGGCCTGTATCAGGCGGACCTTAGTCTCCAGAGAGACACTGTTGCTCTTGAGTATTTTGGAGAGGTTCCTAACCGCAGAAATGTCACTACGAGTCAAAAATTATTTGATGGCAAAAGAAAAAAATTATTTTTCGTGTACTACAGTGGTGGAAATGAGAATCAGATTACAAAATGAATGACGCATCTTGGTAAGGAGAGAAATTTTAGCGGCAAGGCAAAATATTCTTAAAATGTGAAAGACAGGAACATTTCTGAGAAATGCTCCCTTACCTCAGACATGGCTTTAAGGACATAAATCTTGATGACAGCTCGTCTGTCCTCCGCTTTCAGCTTTCTCCTTCGGAAAAGGGCAGTGTCCCGAGAAGGTGGAGCTAGAAAATAGAAAAGTCAAAGAACCCATCAAGTGGCAATCCCATGCCACAGAAATCCTCTTAGTTCTCTCCCCCAGCTCCTCCTACCACGGAAGCAAACCAGAGGTGCCACTGAAGTGGCTGTCACTCATTCCTAAGTTTACAATTCTTTTGTGTATTAAAACTCGGTAATAAGGGGAGCTCTGGTGGCCTAGTGGCAAGAAGCTGCATTACAATCCCAGAGGCGCACGGTTCGAATCCACCAGATGTTCTGCCGGGGAAGGAGGGACAATCTCCTCCTGTACCAGTCAGATCTGATTTGACGGTACACACAAATAGTAAAATTAAAAAAAAAACAACAACAAAAAACAAAAAACTCGTTAATATACACAAATTGTTAAGTGAGGTGCCCAACTCATTTTAATTCCACAAAATAACAGCATTTCATTTCAAAGAGGTTTCATCAAGTGAGGGTTCATTCACTCATCTCACACTTGAAGGTTTTCATAGATGACATTTTCTAAGGGTCCACGGCAGAAAGTAACTAGGTCAAAGTGGGATCCGAACAAGCGTCTCAGCCTTTCCACTAGATGATGATGGTGAAAGGAAACACGTTCCCACCGAGGGAACATCTTTATTGGGATGAGAGAGAAATCCAAACAGTGAAAGGGTCGGCATTAGAGGGGCGGGTGGCCTCAAGGACAGAACAAGTCAAGACACTTTGCTTCTGGTCCCAGCTTATAAGAAAGTACATGTGAAGCAAATTTCTGGACTTTTCAAAGCAGAAAAAGAGAGAGACTTTCAGGTGCCCACTGGATCCTGGCCGTTTCCTTCACCTCCTCCCTCCACCCACCTAACTAAGGCAGGTCCAGTGCCCACACAGCTGCTCACACAGCCATGCTGCTTACAGCCTCCGTGGTCACGCCGTTCACATTCACTCAGGGCCACATGGCCACCGTCTCACACAGTCACAGCCACACCGTCTACAGTCAGTCATGGCGTCTCACAGGGTCACACCACCTCACTGATGGGCTGGCATTAATAAGTTCAGCATTCGCTCTGTGTATATATATTTATTCACCTCTATATATACTATATATGCTACATATACTTTCTATGTATGTACCCTGGACTGCCAAGAAAACAGATTCACCCTGGAGAGGGTTAAACCAGGCTGCTCCTTGGAGGCAAGGATTCTGGGGCTTCGTCTGACATACTTTGGACATGTTGTAAGGAGGGACCAGTCCTTGGAGAGGGACGTCATGCTTGGGAGGGTAGGGGGACGGCACAGGAGGGGAAGGCCCTCTATGAGGTGGATTGATTCAGTGACTGGGGTACTCGGGATGGGTGTGTCAGAGGCAATGAGATTGGCACAGGATAGAGCACAGTTTAGGGCTGTTGTACATAGGGTCGCTATGAGTCACAAACGACTCGACGACACACAACAACAACAACAACATATATACTTTATATAAAGTTATATATATATCATATATATGTGTATATATACATATATACGTGTGTGTGTGTGTGTATATATATATGTTATGTATGTGTGTGTGTGTATATATATATATATTTATTAGTTATAAAGCTGACATCAATTTTCTCCAGCCTACAAAACTGGTTATTTTGTTTTAAAACACTTAATTTGCTTTTTTTAAGTCACGTAAAGTAGTTTGGAAGCAGGAGTAGCATCCACTTCCTAAGCAGCACGCCTCCGGAAACTCTATGAACTTTGATAAATAGTTGTAGAGGGTCTTCAGGCCTTTTGTTCATAGGGTCGCTGGCTGGCAATCAACAACAACAAAGTCATTTAAGCTGTCTGTTTAACAGGAGAGGAAATGCACCTTTTCCAGAAGAGTCCTTACCTCTGTGAAACTGTTCTCCCCAGTCATATGTAAACTGTAACTTAATCTGCCTATTGGCCAGGAAAGGAAGTCTGTCTTAATGGAATTAGCTTTTATCTTTCCAAAACTTGTTTTTCTCAGTCATATATTAATTAATCTACAGGTTGCCTGTTTCCTGGTATCCCTGTGTGAATTTTTTTTTCAGATGTAGAAAGTCTTTGATTTTCCTAACAGTGCATGGTGAAGTAAGTTGGTGTCTCACTGTGTATAAAGCCTCAAGGCCTCTCCCAGATGGGGAGGCAGGCAGTTTTTGACAGTGCTGGCCTCCCAGATCTGTAATCAAGTTCATATGGATATTGCAATCCGTCTGTCTTATTGGCAATTGACAGCAGAAAGAACTGCTTGCTTTCACTTAGCATCATCCAGTCCCACTGTTCACAGTCCCTCCCTGCTACAGTCTCACAGGGCCCCACTGTTCCCTCTCCAGGTCCTGGGGTGACAGTCACACCGTGTACAGTCATGGGGTCTCACGACTCACAGTCACACTGTTCACAGTCCCTCCCTGCTACAGCCTCATCTGGTCACACTGTTCCCGCTCCCGATCGTCAGGGTCACAGTCACGCCGTCTACAGTCGGTTGCCACAGTCATGGAGTCTCACATGGTCCCACTGTCCCATATTGAGATCCTCGGGGTCACAGTCACACTGTCTGCAGTCATGGGGTCTCACAGGGTCCCCACGAGTCACAGTTCCACTGTTGACAGTTCCTCGCTGCCACCTTTCACCTGGTCCCACTGTCAACGTGTCCACAGTTAGTCATCGGGGTCTCACAGTCACACTGTGCACAGTCCCATCTGGTCACACTGTCCCCTCTCCCGATCGGGGTCACACTCACACCGTGTACTGTCACGGGGTCACCTGCTCACACTGTCCCCTCTCCCGATCGGGGTCACACTCACACCGTGTACTGTCACGGGGTCACCTGCTCACACTGTCCCCTCTCCCGATCGTCGGGGTCACAC